CGCGCCTCGGCCGGCCCGGAGGTGCCGCCCCGCCGGCGGGGGGCGGGCGGTGCTGCTCCCTGCGGAGCGCCGGGGCTCGCTCGTGGCCGGGCCTGGCGGCTGTGGAGCGGCGCTGCTGCCTTGGCTGGGTTCAGTATTTGTTCGGCTTTATTATTAATTGTTTAATTGTTTTGTGTGCGCTTCGCGGCCGGTTTTGTTAATGAGCAGGTCAGTGAGCGTGCGTTGCGTTTAAGTGAGCGGCGCTGCTGCCTTGGCTGGGTTCAGTATTTGTTCGGCTTTATTATTAATTGTTTAATTGTTTTGTTAATGAGCAGATCAGTGAGCGTGCGTTGCGTTTAAGTGGCTTTAAGGTGAGGCTGGCTCTCTGCGGAAGGGCTCGGGAAAGCCGGTTTTTCGGAGTTGGCGAGAAGTTTGTTTATAAAATTTTAACGTGTTTAAGGCAGCAGGGAATGGCCAGCACCGCGTGGTGTCCGTGCTGCCCGCCTGACAGCTTTTGTTTTTGACAAAAAACTTGTTTCCAGGAGAATCCCGTGGCGAGCCGTGCTGATCTGATGCTCCTCAGCCTTTTGGCCAGTGGTGCGAGAACAAAAGCAGCTGCTTTGTGGTTTTGAAAGCGAAATGACACACCCTGAACGTGCCCTTCCCGGGAGCTGTGGAGAGCAGGGCATGAGGGGAAGATTCCTGGTGAATATCAGGGCATGAAGGGAAGATTCCTGGTGGAGATCAGGGCATGAGGGGAAGATTCCTGGTGAATATCAGGCCTGGAGATCAGGGCATGAAGGGAAAAATTCCTGGTGAATATCAGGGCATGAAGGGAAGATTCCTGGTGGAGATCAGGGCATGAGGGGAGGATTCCTGGTGAATATCAGGGCAGCCCCGGGAAGCGTTTTGGGTATTCCTGAAGCTCCAGTTCATTCAAGTGCATTTTAGTGCCAGTTGAAGGAAGGTGCCAAGCGTGGATCCTGAAAAGTGGTTTTTTGGGAAAGCCTCTGCAAGGAGCAGGAATGTGTCAGGGTGTGTGTCAGAGGTGGGGGCACAGCTGCAGTGGGACACGTGGGTTTGGTGGTGTTTTACACCAAAACCCTGCAGTGGAGCTGTTTGATGGTCACTCCTCAGAGGCAGCGTGTTCATTTCATCCAAAACAATGGCAGTAATGGAGAGGAGAGCAGAGCCTGCCCAGGAAAGCTGGGGCTGCCCCTGGCAGTGCTCCAGGCCAGGCTGGACAGGGCTTGGAGCACCTGGGACAGTGGAAGGTGTCCCTGCCATGGCAGGGTGGGATGGGATGAGCTTTGTGTCCCACCCCAAACCACTCTGGGTTCTGTGATGTAGCTCTCAAGATAATGTAGAGTCAGCTCTGAAGGATCATTCCAAGCTGCTGGACTGACAGATCTTTCTCAGGATTCCCAGGGCTGGGGGGTGTGGCAGGAGGGATCTCTGGCAGGGGAGACTCTGAGCTGTGCCCTGGCTGTGTGTCACAGCTGGCACTCCCACAGGGCCCCTCCCTGAGCTGTGTGGGGCCATCTGCTGGGCTTGGGGCTGGCTGGGGAGGCAGCTGGGAGCTGCATGGCCTGCTGAGGGTGAGGAGCTGGCACACATCACACATCCTCCTGGCTTTGTGTTCCTCAGCTCTTGGAAAATGCCAGCTCCTCTGTTTGGAGGAGTTGTTTTCTTTTGGTAGTTCAGTTTATAGTCACCATTTGGTTGTGGGTCTTCATGACATCTGTCCTGAACATCTGAGAATTGACTTTTGTCATTTTTTCATTTATAACAGACAGGGAAAGGGGCAGAAACATCCCCAAGCCTCTCATAGCCACTGATGATGTAGCTGTTGGTTTGTTTGCCAATTAACTGTATTTTCCCAAAGGATAAACACCCAGGGCACACCAAATCATTTCATGGTGTGTGAGCACTGGGGAGGCTTCAGGGGTGGGGAAGGGGCCAGAAGAGGCCACCAAGATGATCAGAGGGCTGCAGCAGCTCTCCTGTGGGGAAGGGCTGAGAGAGCTGGGAAGGTTCATCCTGGGGAAGAGAAGGCTTTGGGGTGATCTCATTGTGGCCTTGCAGTGCCTGAAGAATCTGCAGGAAAGGTGGAGAGCATGGAGGGACAGGACACAGGGAATGGCTCCCACTGCCAGGGCAGGCATGGATGGGACATTGGGAAGGAATTCTTCCCTGTGAGGATGGTGAGGCCCTCCACAGGCTGCCCAGAGCAGCTGTGGCTGCCCCTGGATCCCAGGGAGTGAGCAGGAGGGAAAGAGAAGGAATCTGCCCCTCTGCTCCAGTTTCCTGAGACCCCGCTGGAGTGTTGTGTCCGGCTCTGGGGCCCCCAAAGTCAGGAGGTGGAGCTGCTGGAGCGAGTCCAGAGGAAATCATGGAGATGCTGCAAGGGCTGGAGCCAGGATGGGGGTGCTCATGTGGAGAGGAGCAGGGAATGGCTCCCACTGCCAGAGGGCAGGGATGGATGGAATAATGGGAAGGAATTCCTGGCTGTGAGGGTGGGCAGGCCCTGGCACAGGGTGCCCAGAGCAGCTGTGGCTGCCCCTGGATCCCTGGAATTGGGTGGGCCTTGGAGCAGCCTGGGATGATGGAAGGTGTCCCTGCCCATGGGAGTGGAACAAGATGAGCTTTGAGGTCCCTTCCACCCAAACCATTCTGGGATCCTCTCAAGGCCGCCTCTGAAGTGTTGATATTTAACGCCTGAAGCTGCAGAAATTTGCATATTTTAGAAAACATTTAGAAGCCGTCAAAGACTTGGTGTCTCTTCCATTTTCTCCGGGTGCTATGTTGGGTAGTTCCACTTATGTGGGCAGCAGTGCTGTTGTGGATGAGGTGGTGCTGGCAGGAATTAGTCATGTTGGAGTGACAAAGGAACCTCTCTGCCGAGGCAGCCGTGCCACCCAGTGGAAATGCAGCACAGCCTGTTGCATATCCAGAAAACCTTCTTCTGTCTTTGAAAGATCATCTTGGAGACAGGAACTAAATCTGGCGCATCAAGTGTTGGAATAATGTCATACAACTCAAAAAAAAAAATAGGAAAGCAGTTGATGCTTAGTTTTGGGTTAGAAAAAGTGCTTTGGATGGCTCTTCCTAATGAGGGTCTGTAAGGACTGATGGTGGGTAAAATCCAGGAAAGGCAAAAGCATGGGGAAAATTGCTACTGCACCCACAGTTTCAGTGAGATGGATGCAATCCAAGAGGGTTTGGAGCTGAAAAAACCAGCGTGGAGCTGGTTTGTTGTGGAAGCTGTGCAGTAGGACGGATTTAGCACGGCTCACGCAGCACCAGGCGTTTCACAGACCTCCCTGGGAGTCACCCCCTGGTTGTGAAGGCTCTTGGAAGAACTCTACTGCCAGAGCTGGGTTGGAATTGTGCTTCCCAGCCTTTCTCTCTTCCCAGTGCAGCCTGGCCCATCTCACCTTCCTGCTGGTGATTTCTGGGAGCAGCTCATGGAGAGGAAATCCAGGAGGCCTTGGCCTGTGCCTGAAGGTTTTGCAGGGTGTCATTTCTGGGCAGGTGCAGTGAACTCCTTCCTGTCCCTCATGGCTCTTCAGGATAAAGGGTGAGAGGGACTCAGCTCCTGGCAGCCTTGTTTTTGCAGGCATTGATCATCTCCCTCCCTCCCTTCAGTTTGGTGCTCCGAGGTGGCTGAAGGTGCTGCCCTGACCACAGAGCTGGAGCTGGCAGGCTCTGGGCTTCAGAGAAGCCAGAGATGATTCCAGGGATTTTTGCAGGCATTGATCATCTCCCTCCCTCCCTTCAGTTTGGTGCTCCGAGGTGGCTGAAGGTGCTGCCCTGACCCCAGAGCTGGAGCTGGCAGGTTCCCTGGGAAGCCAGAGATGATTCCAGGGGCGTTGGCCTTCAGAAAACAAAGGGAATCTTATCTTACAGCACAGTGGATGCAAGCAGGACTTCACTGTGAATGCTGCCAGCTCTGTTGTCTTTCTGCTCCCTGCCAAGTGACTTTAACTCCTGAGCCCTCCTTCCATTTGTTCTTCCTTCATCCCAACTGCAGGGAGGATAATTTGGAGTAGAGTTTGAATGTGGCAGAAGGAATGTCTGTTACAGGAATGGGTTTCTGTGCTGATATCAGTGCTTGTGCACCAGGAAAGCTTCAAGGGATAATTGGTTCATTCTAATGACTCTAAAAATCCCATCAAGCCACCATTCAGTGTGGGGGGTTTTTTCCTAAAATCTTGAGCCCATGTGTGATCTGGAGGGACTTTAAAATTTAGTTACTTGGAGGTCTGACACTGTCTCTGAGTCTGATTGGTGAGCATGTGAATGCCTTGGGCAATAATTGTAATAATATCATTGATATTCCTGTAGGGTTTTGACTGGAATTCTGTAGCTAGTGTTGAACAACCTGAATGGAATATAGATTCCAGATTTAAGTACAGATGAGTTCATATGTTGTCTGAATGTTAGGGGTAATTTCGGTTTCTTTTTTGTGAGATGAAGGTGGCAGTACCCAGATTAAATGTCTGTTTAAAAAACATCCCTGAAATAGGGCATCCTTTCTGCAAGAGGATCCTTGACATGCTTGGCATGGGCTCAGTTATCCCAAATGTTGCCAGCAAATGTTGCTCTTGTCTGCTTGCCAAAGTAAAAAAGCCACTAAATCTCATTATAAGCTATGCTTAACTAGTTTTTTTCCTTCTTTTTCTTTTTTTTTTTTAATAAATCATGCAGCAGAATTGTTCTCTTCATTTTCATGGCACAGAAATATTTGGGAATGATCTGCTAACAGATATTGGGGATATCAGTTGATATTTGGGAAGCAGGCCTGTTTCAACTGTGTGCACCCACTGCTTGACTTGAATTTACTCCTCTCTGACACTTCTGTGACAGATCACAGGATTTTCTTCTGAGTTCTCCTTTAGTTTCCTTTCTTCTCTTCCTTCTCTCCCTCGCAGCAAATGTTCCAACTTCTTCTATGGACTATTTTCAGTCTGTTGTAGATCTGGTTTTCACTTGGTCTTATCCCATCTCTCCATCTGCCTAAAGAAATGAGGATTCTCTTGACCTGTTTTGGTGGTGTTTTTAATAACCTGGTTATGATCATGGTTGTTATTATTATTATCTGTGCACTTATATAAAAGGTTTTTTGTACATGTCTGCATATTAATTGTTGTTTTCCTTTATTTTTGGGGTTATGATAAATAACTTCTCTGTCCATGGAGGTAAATTGAATTACAGTACCACCAAAAAGCACCTACCAACTTATTATTATTGAGTGTGGTTAATTGCAAAAATTAATGAATTCTTAGCAGAAGAGGTATTTCTTGAAGAGAAATTGAGTTTGTAATAGATGTCTCAGACAGCTGAGCTGTTAATAGCAAGAGCAGAAACCATTTCCCTGATGTAGTTCACTTGGTTTCTCAATTTTAAACAAATAGTCCTTGATCTGAAATGTTCCTCATCTGAGACAGAGAGTCCTTACTTGAAAGAACTACTGCTGTTATGAATTAATACTGGAGTTTTAACAAACCTTTGTATTCATGCAATTAGGCACTGAATTCCATCAACTTTGTAGATACATATTTCTTAAAAGGTTTATTTAAATTATTAGGTGTTTCTTGACAGGTTTATTTAAATTACTAGCTATTTCTTGAAAGGTTTATTTAAATCACAAGGTATTTCTTAAAAGGGTTATTTAAATTATTAGGTGTAACTTGAAAAGTTCACTGTGTTTCCACAGAGGTCTGGGTTGTTCCACGTGGTCATAAATAACTTGGGAAATGAGATGAGCAGTGTCCTGTTGATACAAAGCCATTCAGGAAAGTAAGGATTAGGTAATAAATTGGAGAAATAATTCAATGGCAATAAATCTGCTGTGATTCAGAGTAGATAAATGTAGAGTGGTGCATATAATTTCACATATAAAATGCTGGGCTGACCCTTGACACTGAGGAGTGAAATATTGCCACAGAAGTGTCAGTTCCATAGGGATCTAAAAGCAGCTGAAAAATGAAGAAGTATTAGGAAGGAAATAGAAGACAAACCAGAGCATAATTATGATACTGTATAAATCAATGGTTATCCCACATCTTCAATTCTCTGTGGTTCTTTCTTGTCATTCATCCCAAAAGATACAAAAGACTTGGAAAAGCCTCAAATTGAGGCAAGGGAGAATAATCAAAGGTAGGGAAGAGCTGCTGCACAGGGGTCAGGGGAAACAGCTGGAACTCAGCCTGGAGAAGGGAGAAATGAAAGAAAATGGTAAAAATCTGTAGGATAATGATCAGCAGGGGCAGGGTGGGTTAGAATAGACTTGCTGATTTCCTCAGCTGCAAGAATGGAGGAGCTACAAGTGAAAGTAGTAAAATCCAGGTTTTTTTAGAACAAAAAAAGGAGGTGGCTTTTGTGCAACAAATAGCAGCCAGTGGGTGTTGTAGGAACAACTCTGAAGTGGGCAAATGGGACATCCCCTCATCTAAGTGAGGAAGCTGGATGTGTTTGTGAAAAAAGGAATTATTTGAGGTTATTGATCCATAGAAATTGTCTTAGGAGGTGTCTGAGCTTGGAATCACTGAAGTGTTGGGGTGAGAGTCATTCCTGTTCTTGTTCTTCTCTGCTTTGTTAAGATAAAATTGGATGCTGAGCTAAATGGCCACTTGTCTGATCCAGAGCTGTCCTGAGGTCAGGAGATCGTGTGGGTAGTAACAAACTTACCATACAGTTTCAGAGAAGATTGTATAATTAATATAATGTAAGTAATGTGGATATATATTAACCTAAAGGAGTAACATGTAAATAATGTGAATATATATTAACCTAAGGGAGCTTCTAAACCTATTTGAGCTGGGTTTTCTGTATGAACCTCCATGTCCGAGACCATTCTCTGTCTTAGAAGTCAGTTCTTTACCATCAACAAGGGAAATACAAGGATTTTGTTTTGTGGGAACCAACTTTGCAGTAGTATTTATACTTGTGACTTGTCTTTTACATTTTTCCTCCTCTTATGTTCCTTTCTGGCTCCTACACTCTCCCCTAAAACTTTTTGGCTGCTCTTGGTAATCTTTTTAAACAGTTCCTCACCTCTGGTTAAGTGTTAATATGTCTCATTGGTCCCTATTTTTTGGTGCCTATTTTTTTGGAAGTGTGGAGAGGTTGGAAGTTGGATACATATTAATGACACCTCTGCAGTCAGGCTCTGGAGTTGGTGAATGTAAACAAAAGCATCCTCTGCCCTTGGTGGTGTTATTTATTCTGAAATAATTGGAGGATAAACCATCAGCAAGCTATAGTTTTTATTTTTAGCAATAAGATCTGTATGATTCCAGCTCTGAGGTCCCCAACCTCAGAAGGACACGGACCTGTTGGGACAAGTCCAGAGGAGCCACGGAGCTGCTCCAGGGCTGCAGCCAGGCTGGGAGAGCTGGGAATGTTCCCCTGGAGAGGAGAAGGCTCCAGGGAGAGCTCAGAGCCCCTGGCAGGGCCTGAAGGGGCTCCAGGAGAGCTGGAGAGGGACTGGGGACAAGGCATGGAGGGACAGGACACAGGGAATGGCTCCCACTGCCAGAGGGCAGGGATGGATGGGAGATTGGGAAGAATTTTGAGGGTGGGCAGGCCCTGGCACAGGGTGCCCAGAGAAGCTTTGGCTGCCCCTGGGCAGGCTGGATGGGCTTGGAGCAATCTGGGATGGTGGAAGGTGTCCCTGCCCACAGCAGGGAGTTGTACCTAGGTGATCTTTAATGTCCCTTCCAACCCAAACCATTCCATGATTCTCTGATGTAATGATGCTTCGGTTTAGAGGCATTGACTTCACCCACAAGAATCCTGCTATACCTTTTCCAAATCCCAGTTTAGAAAACACCTGGAATCCTTCCCAGGCCTCCCTGTCTGGGCAGGCTCTATATGCTCCATATGAATGCTTAAAATATTTTTTTGCTATTGCAATGTGGCCCATTTTCATCCTGTGTCACACCTGTCTGAGAGGAGGCAGGTGGAGGCTCAGGGCTTTCCTTTTCATGGGAACTTTATCCAGAGAAAAGTGTTTGGGTCACTCTGTGAGCACAGGGAGGCAGCTGGGACAGCAATAAACCCAGGGCTAAAACAGAGAGTAAATTTTTTCCCATTATCCACTAAGTGGGGATCCCCAAAGCAACACCTGGCACAGGTGTCCATGAGCACTGCTCACCCTGAGCCGAGCTCCAGGAGCTGGTGTGGAGCCAAGGCACCAAGAGGTGCTGCTGGTTCTGCACCTGCTGAGCTCCCAATGAGACAAGTGCAGACGTCTCATTTAGTCTTGCTTAAAAATACCTTTATTATTTTCAACAAATTTCACTTTATCTTACCTTACTTTTCAGCACAATGTCTGGAACTGATGATTTTTCGGTAAGTAACAGTTTTTCTTTCCTGAAGATCAGCCAGTTGTGTTGATTATTCCAAAAGCTGACATAGTTTTGTGAAGGAAAAGGGGAGCTGACAGCTGAGACATTTCCTGCGTGTGGCAGTGGTGGTGTTTTCCTTTCGGGTAGGTGTAGCAATCCCTGGACTAACCATCGGAAGCTGCCGGGTGCCTCGTGGGTTCTCTCCTGTGACATTAACAAAGGAGCTGTGCTTTCATGGCATCAGGATAGTTGTCATGCAAATCTAGGGAAATGTTTTCAGGTCTGTGCTGCAGCCGCCTGTTGTTCCGTGTGGTGGGGTCGCCTTTTATCTCTGGCTTTTTTTTTAAGTGCGGCCTGTCAGAATGCCTCTGCTGCCTTAGTGATAGAAGCTGCACAAAAATGAATGTAATCATCTGTGTGCAGCCGCCGAGAGCTCCTCTCCTCCCTGCAGAGCTCCTCTCCTCCCTCGGGCAGCTGGGCTGTAGCCACGTGGTGGGGGGATGTCTGCAGCCGGGAATTCCGGCCCCGCTCATTCCGTTCTCACCGGCGCTTTGTCTTTCAGTTGGCAGATGCTTTACCAGACCAGTCGCCTGCTAAAACCTCCAAAGTGAGCAGCACCAAGCCTGGCCAGCAGCCCGGGCAGCCTCCGCAGGGCTGGCCGGCTTCCAACCCTTGGAATAACCCCAGCGCCCCCCCTATGACTCCAACGGGACTGCCACCAAACACTTCGGCTTCCAGCGTGCCCTTCGGACCTCCTCCCACGGGAATGTATCCTTCAATGCCCCCGGGACCGCCTGCTCCATTTCCTCCTCCTCCTACTGGACCCTCCTGCCCTCCTCCTGGTGGTCCATATCCACCCCCAACTGTGCCAGGTCCTGTCCCACCAGGGCAGTATCCTCCACCAAATATGCCCTTTCCAGAGCTTCCACGACCTTACGGAGGTCCAACAGAGCCAGCTGCACCTCCTGCTCCTGTTGGGCCATGGGGATCCATGCCCTCTGGAGCATGGGGACCAACAATGGGAGGGCAGTATCCTGCTCCCAGCATGCCATATCCACCCCCTGGGCCATATTCTGCTCCCACCCAGACTCCAGGGGCTGCGCCGACAGTACCGTGGGGTACGGTCCCGCCCGGAACGTGGGGACCGTCACCGCCCGGCCCATTCCCTCCACCCACAGGATCATATCCAGCTCCAGGACTATATCCTACGCCCCCTAATCCTTTTCAAGTGCCATCTGGTCCTGCTGGTGCTCCATCAATGCCTGGTGGTCCCCATGTGAGTATTTCATTTTGGTGTCAAATTACTGTAAAGCGTTTCACTTTTGAGTGGGGAAATTCAGTAGCGTAAAACCTGTTAGTGCAGGTAAGGAGTTTCAGCACACCTCAAGTTATGTTCCTCAAGTCAGTGGGATGACAGCAATTTAAATATTAAACATATTAGAATGGCTAAATTATGTTAATGTCTCACCTTATAGTGGTCTTCCACTGCTTGGAAAGACCCAAAGCCAAAAAAGGGGGGAAAGCATTGTAATAATTCTGAAAGAGAAAACATTCTAATCTCTTTAATCCAGAGTGCTTGCTGACAGCAGTGGGGAGGGAATAACAAAATATAAGGGTGAATTTGTGATTAATTAACAGTATTTGTAACTGTGAGTGAACTGCTGTGTGAAAAACCTGTACTGACCATGACTTATTCTCTCTTGCAGCCTTACCGCTGAATACGTTCTGGGCAACAAAATACTGTAGTTTTCCACCTTCATCCACTACTTACAGAGATTTTTACAGTTTTTGTTTCAGTAATGTATGGGGCTATGAAGAATATTGCCTCTTGTATGTGCATTTGAAGTATGAAGGAGCAGTTTACATCAATTTACCTTGCTCATATGCTGGCATAATTATTTGGTTTAATCAAGTGAAATACAAAGAGAAGAAATCAACTAACACACCTGTGGTTCTTATGTTGGCAAGTATTCCTTGGAAAAACAGGAGTTGCCATGTAAGGATTATAAAGAATCAGGCCCACGGAATTAAAAAAAGTTAATTCTTAAATTTCCATTAATGCTTTAAGTCTCGTTGCCAGACTCCTGCTGGTCATTGAACGGATGGATAGTCATATTTTGTCTATTTTCAGGTTATTCTAAAAAGTCAATAGAGAAAGTGTTTCAACATTTTAGTCAAGAAACCTAATTTTTGAACGTGCTACAGTAATTCAAACTAACAAGACAGAGCATGTGAACTCGAAGGTTTTCTCAGCATTTTGTACATACTCAAACCAATTGCAAGGTCTGGGACTACGGAGGAGAAGAGCCACGTTTGGAAGCCTTGGTGTGACTTGTCAGCACACTGTTGGTGTTCACAAACAGGCATTCCTGTGCAAGTGAAATAACCTGGATGTGCAGTTAACTTTGAATCAGCAAAATGTGAGTTTTATGCATGCAAATGAGGACATCCTGTTGCCAGTTCTCATTCTGTGGTGGTTGGAAGTTTGGCTTGGTCTGTGTAAAGAGAAACTGATCCCCACGTAGGTACTTCCCTATTTCTGACCTGGGTTCTAGTCATTTCAAATTTGACTTGGCTGCTGGGTTGTGTAAACCTGGCAGACTTTTTCAGAGTCCCTGGAAACTGAACTTGAGCTTAAAACCCAACCTGAGCATTCCCTTCCCAGCAGTTTTTGGCACAGTTGTGTCACATTGGAGATCCTCGTTGCCGCGCTTGGGCGCGAGGGGCTCTCGTTTGCTGTCCCTGGGAGCAGCCCCTGTTCCCAGCTGGGTGTCTGCATACCTCACGGAGTAGGAGGAATTTGGGAGAAATTGAATGTCAGGAAGCCTGTGCACTGCTGTGCAGCTGCCTCTCCCCAGGGGCACTGCCCTAAGCTTTCGTGTTCTTGCCATGTCTGTGCCAAGCACATCCGAGGGGTTTGCCGGGACGCGGCCACGTCCCTTGGTGGTACTTCATGGCCTACACTTGGACCACGGACAGTTTGTTTCCTCCCCAGCTGGGGATCTCCTGACTTAGCCTCTGTGGGTAGAATTAGGAACAGATTTTGCTTCACGTGGTAGCTCATTAGGGAGTCTTTGTATCATGGAACTGTGAACACGAGTTAATTCTCTTCCAGTACTTTCGTGGCTTCCTGCATGCCTGTGATGGACACTCTGAAAGCACATGGGGTGACCTGGTGGTGATGCTCCCTGGTAGTCATAGCCTTTATGGCAAAGTCCTACAGTATTTTTGCAGGAGAAAGCAGCCAGCTGAGCTGTGGCTGCTTTAATCCAACGTCATGAAAGCTGATAGCAAAGGAATGTCTATTTTTTCTTTTAGGAAGACAATACTGGAGCTGAACAAAAATACTTTTAACACTTCAACTTAAACCCCAGCAACCTAACCCTTGGAATAAGAACCAAAAGTGCAAGTCTTCACTAACCTTAAAAAAACCCCAGTTACCCCCTAAGCAGACTTGGCAAGACTAATTTAAAATTAACGTAAGCAACATTGACTGCATTTGCTTAAGTGCTTTTTTGATACCTGCAGCCTTAGACTGTAAATCATTGTAATGAAAACACATTTATTCCAAATGAATGGATCATGCAGTAGCAGCCCTCCAGTTGGAATTGCACTGGCCATATGTCTCTGCAGGGAATGGGAAGAGGTAGGAAAGGATAAAGCAAAAGTAGCAAGTAATGATTTTTGGAAAGGGGTTTTGTAAAAGTAACTAGACTTCTAGGTTCTTCCTGAAATAGGCAGGATTTATTACTGGAACATTTAGGCTAAAATTCAATATATATGGGATGTTTTTCAATGTATATTCGTATTTCTTGAGGTCATGAAAACTGTTTCATAACCCCTTTGTTTTTGTGAGCAGAGTTCTTTGCATAGCAGTGAAAAGGGTATTCCTGTTAATCTATTGTGTAAAAACTCAAGGTGTCACTATATACCGTGTAGTAACTTTATCACATGTTATGTCAAGTGTGAGCAACTTCTGGCCTGAAGCTTTTGCAATGGAATTTGTACATTTCTATGCATCATTTTGAGTTCAATTGCTGAGGAGTTCGTTTTGACTTGTGCTTTGAGGTTGACATACTGCATTTGTTTACAATACGAAATATAAGCAATCACATCTTTAAAGTATAGATTATCACCTGCTGCTGTATTTTCTTTAGATGAAACAAATATTGCTGTATGATAGTGAGAAGCTATAAATACAGGATTTGATATTTTTTTGAAAATGCTGTCACTTTTGTATAAGATTAGACATTAAACGTATTTTCAAGACTGTTGTGTTCACTGTTTTTCAATTCCTGCTTTTGACATGCCTGTGTAGACTTTTGCCTTGAATGAATAGTAAAAATAGGACATCCTTGATTTGCAAAGCCTGAATATAAAATCAGAATTACTTGACTTCTGTGAGTGTTTTTCCTCTTCCTTTTGTGATATTTGCAGCCTGTACATAAGGGATATTAAATGTGGATGCAACCATGGCTCTGGTGTAGCATGTCAGCCCCAGGTACTGCCTGTTCACAAATTCCTTGGTAATTAGGAGAGAAAAGATCTGATCTTGCCTGTTCCAGAGGAGGAAAGGGACTGTTTTTTTACCTGTGAAGAGTTGTGTGTGTGTTTTCCCTGCCCCTGAACAATTCCTGTGCCAGACTGACACACGTGCATGTGGTAAGTGACCCCCAAACCACTGTTCTTACACATTTCCCAGGAGTTTGGTGGGATAAAGTGAGTAACAGAAACTCCGGGGCTTGGCATCAGTGTGAACTACTAAATTTGGGCATCACTTGTGGCTGCATTTCCATGTATTGGCTTGCAGAGCAGTTCACACTGAGCTGGCCAATGCTGCTGCCTTGGTTCACACCTTCACCCTTCAGGGAAGGTAAAAATGGCAGCAATGAACAGGAAATAATAGAAACAAAATTATTTACACACCTTAAGGCTTGAGAAAAGCTCTTTTTAGGCCATGGTCCAAAAATAATCCTGACATCTGTTAATAGAACAGTGCAGTGTGTGGGCAGTGCTTTATCCTGACTGTTCAGCTGTGGGATTGTCCCTCTGGATTTGTCAAATGAATTCTGTCTGCAACTCCTGTGCATCAGTAAAGACGTGGCCATGCAGATCCAGCTGTGTTAATTGCTGCCCTGCAGACCCAGAAAACTTCAGCTGAGTATTTTTGAGGGACCAAGTCCTAGGGGAGGGAGCTGGGAAGGGGCTCAGCCTGGAGAAAAGGAGGCTCAGGGGGGACCTTGTCCTCTGCACAACTCCCTGGGTGCAGTCTGGGATCTGCTCCCAGGAACAAGGGGCAGGATGAGAGGGAATTAAACTGCAGCAGGGGAGGTTTAGATTGGATGTCATAAAAAACTTCCTCTTGGAAAGAATGGTCCAGCCCTGGCACAGCTGCCCAGGGCAGTGGTGGAGTCCCCATCCCTGGAGGGATTTTAGAGCCATGTGGATGTGGCACTTGGGGACAGGGGTCAGTGGTGGCCTTGCAGTGCTGGGGGAATGGTTGGACTCTCTCTCAGAGGGCTTCTCCGACCTGAAGATTCAGTGGTTCTAAGTGATGTTCATATAATTCTTAGGAGTAAAAGCTGCTCAGGGGTGCTGCAGAGTGCTCAGTGCAGGGTTCATCCAGCTGTGGGTGTGTCAGTTCTGCTCCCCTCCTGTGAGGGAAGGTGCCCAAACTCCTGTGGGTGAGCCCAGCTCCATTGCTGTGCCCAGTCAATGGAGTCCCTGCCCAGCCAGTCCAAACTGTCCCAGGAAAGGGATGGTGATCACAGGGTGGTTTGGGTTGGAAGGGGCCTTAAAAACCACCTCATTCCACCCCTGCTGTGGTCAGGGCCCCCTCCCACCTCCATAGGAAGGGTGGCCTGAGCCTCAGTGCAGTGAGAGCCTTTGGCATCTGTGCAAGGATGGAATGGTCCATGTGTATTTTTATTAATATTGCAGTTAGAGGGCAATTCCATACACACCAAACAGCCACCAGGCCCTGGTGTCTGAGTGTCAGTTGGGAAATTAAATAACACAAGTTTCAGCTTTCACCCAAAGCTTCCAACTGGGAGGAATAACTCCCAGTGTCCCACCGGGGTGTTCTGCTCATCCCAGACACAGCTGCAGGGGCATCCCAAGAGGGCTTGGACCCAGGTGTGTCCCTGGGTGGGTGTTGTAGGTGTTTGTGGCACGCAGGGGAGTGAGCTCTGCACCCACAGCCACCATCCCTGGGCACCCTGTGGGACCCAGGGCTGGAGAGGGATGGTGCCTCCTCTGCTGGGATGCTCCCCTGTTCCACTCACTGCCGGCCCAGTTCTCCCATTTCCAAGGTTGATGCAGTGGGATGAGCTGCTGTAACTTTTCCTCTGCTCTCACAGGTCAGTGGAACGAGTTAACTAAAAACGCCAGCTGGTAACAGAGAGGGAACATATTTTTGGTCACTCTTGCCTGCAGAATCTCTCAGGTTTGTTGGAAGCAGGTTTCCCATGGAAGCTGTGGCTGCCCCATCTCTGGAATTGTCCAAGGCCAGGTTGGATGGGGCTTGGAACAACCTGGTCTAGTGGCAGGGGTGGAATTGAATCATCTCTAAGGCCTCTTCCAACCCAAAACATCCTGGGATTCTGTGATACTTTTGTTTCAGAGATTCCCTGGTTGTCCTGTTGGATAACAGTGGGACTTTGTATCCCCTGAGCGGCAGATCAGGAGCTGAGTTACACCCAGGTCAGTGGCAAGGGGAGTCAGTGCAGCAGCAGGAACAGTTCTGCTCCCTGTTATCAGTTTCCAAAGGGAACCCTCCCTGTTAAATGAGACGAGGAGATAAAATCACAGTGCCTGTGTTCGGAGTCAGTGCAGCAGCAGGAACAGTTCTGCTCCCTGTTATCAGTTTCCAAAGAGAACCCTCCCTGTTAAATGAGAGACAAGGAGATAAAATCACAGTGCCTGTGTTCCTGTGTTCCCAACTTTCTCATGACAAGACAGGGAAGGGCTGTGTTGAGCAGCCCTAGGCACACCTCGGGTTTCATTTCAGGTCCTCCTCCTGCTGGCTGTGCAAGATCTTACCTGTCCTTGCACATTCATCTTCTTGTGATTAGGTGAGGGAACCCCTAAACTCCTGCATCAGCTCAGTTTCATTCCAAGTAGGAACTAGGAACCTCCCAGTATCCCTTCCCACCAGAATCACACATCACTCTCAGAAAGTAATGCTGTTTTATGCCTGGTTAAAAGCAAATATGGAATTTATCCATTCTTGAAATAAATTCAGGAGATGACAAAAGACACTGGATTTCATTTAGGAATTTCTGGGCTTGGCGTGAATGGGGAATGCATGAAGTTGTGCCAGAGTGGGTTTAGGTTGGATATCACAGAAAGTTTTTTCTCCCAGAGGGTGCTGGGCACTGCCCAGGCTCCTCAGGGAATGCAGACCAGGAGCTGGGCTCTGACCCTTGTGGGTCCCTTCCCACTCAGGATGCTCTGTGACACCCCTGGCTCAGGAATGCCGTGTTGTCCTGGGGTAGATCCGTGCTGAGAACCCCAGAAGAGTGTCCTGACAAGGGTGTTTTGTGAGGATACTCCACTTTTCTCAGCTGTTAAAGGAACATGAACAGTAACCCTGTGCTGTGGTGCCCTTTCAAAGGAACCTGCTCCATTTGCACAATGTGAAACCTTCACATTCCAGTGCTTTGTGTGACAGAAATGGTTCAGAGGGGTTGTTTCCAATTTGCCTGTGTTCCCTTCAGTTACAGGCAACACCCTCCAGCAAAGAGATGGCAGAATATCACAGTCTAAATTCACTTAAAGTGGGGGAAATTACTGCTTTAATACCCTGGTGCTGCTCTCCCTGCGTGCCAAGCTCAGTAAAGCCAGGGTGTGCTGGCACTCCTCAAGGACAGAGTTGCTCATCTTGAAGGTTTTTTAATCGAGGTACTTCAAAGTCTCATCAGCTCCACACCAGGCTTGCATTTCTGCATTTCTGCCTGGATTCTGTCCTGTTTCCCCCTCAGAAAGCAACACCACATCGACCTGAAATGTGGGCTGATCACATTCATGGCTCTGTGCTGCCACCGTCACCATCCTTGTCTTGATGCTCCTCCCCTGGGGCTCTGTCCTGGCTGGCAGAGTAGGGAGCTGCTAAAAGGAGAGTGGGAGTGCAGTGACATCAAGAAAAACTGCTCTGAGTGGGTAAAAAAAAATACAAGGTGTTGGAAAAAGGAGCTTTTGGGTGTTATGTGAAAGCAAAGCACGATGGAGTTCCTCTGGATTTTGCTCTCAGTGCTGGTAGCTGCCCCTCCAGCATCCTGCTCATCACCAGAGGGCTCTGCTGCTGCTCCACCTGCCCTGCCAAGCCTCTGGGAGAGGTGGCTGTGTCTGCTATTGATTATTTTTAACACTTAACTTGATTAAAAAATGGCAAAACCAACATTTTAGTGACATCTGGTGCTGCTGGGAGAGGTTGTTCTAACCTGCACCTTTGCACAGACTTTGTCTGAGGAATAACTCCCAGCATAACTCCAGAACACAGGAATAACTCCTGTGTTCCTCTGGCTGCTGCAGGAAGAGCACAAACACAGGAGGTTTAAATGTGGGCCCTGCTCAGTGTAAGGGTTCACAGCAGGATGGATTTCTGTGCTCTGCAAAAATCTAGTGCAAGAAAGAAGGAAAAAGGATTCCTCCAAAGCTCTTCCCTTTCCCTCTCCTCTGGTTTCCTGAGATCTGGTAAAACCCATCCATTGGGGCTGGATCTGGCCATCCTAAAAGTGTTTCCCAGCCTCAAAGATTCTGTGATTGCTGTGTAATAAAATTGTTTTAAACTCTTCAGAGTGGCTGGTACTGAGGCTTTAACTCTGTATTATTAAAACTCTTCAGAGTGGTTGGTACTGGGGCTTTCTGCTGGATGAGGCTGTGCTGTGCTGGCTTTCTTTGCCCTTCATGTTTTTCCCAGCCCCACGTGCTCAGGCTGGTGTCACACAGGGATTTTACTCTCCTTATGGAGCATCTGTCCCAGAGACAAGGGGGGTTTTCCCTGCCCTCAGTAAACTGATGAAATCCCTTCCTTCAGCACAGCACTTTTCCTCTCAGCTTTTTAGGCTGGAGTAATTTCTGCTGGGCAAGCACAGAGGGTGGGCAAGGAAAGCACCAAGGTGTTGGGTTTTGATGGCAACGAGCCATGGGGGCTTTGGCCCCACCTGCACCAGCATTTGGGGCCACTGTGGGCATTTCTGCTGCAGTTATTTAATCACATTTGCATGAAGGATGCTCCATAAGGGCCCCTGGGCGCCAGGCTGCAGAGGAGGATGGAATTTCTATCAAGTTCAAAGCCAGGGGGAGTGTGAGGACTTTTGTAAAATCTCAGCTGACACAAATTGCTACGAGACTCATTTAACGCTCG